CTCTTTCTCTTCCATTAGATCTCTCTTTCTTTGAACTCTTCTTATCCTTCTGGATTTTTGATTCGATTCTGTTTTTTTTTCTTTTACTAATTTGATCAGTTTCTTTAGAATCTTTAGTCTTTGTTTTCTGATCTGGGTTTTCTTCTCTCTGTTAACTTTAGCTGCTAGTTGTGGAAACTGGTGAGTAGATCGATCGAAAACCCAAGACAGATTTTTTAATCAAGAGACAAAGGCTTTTTTGGGGTTTCTGATTTGGGTTTTGTCTCATTTTGAGAAATGGGTTCAGAGGTGAGTCTCTCTCTTTCTCTGTTCCTGTGTTGACTGTTCTGAAGAAGTTTGAAGAGATTGGAAGCAAAATTTAGGACTTTGTTTTGTCTTTGGACTGTTCATGCAATTAGTTTTCATGGAGGATAATCGATTAAACTTGCTTGTAGATTAGTTTTGTGGTTGTTACTGAGCTGGAAATGATAGGGTTTTTTTGTAAGAGATCAAATTGTTCAATGTCAATTGATTCAAGTGTTGCTTGTATGTTCCTTTTCTTTGGGAAAGAAATTGTATTTGGGTATTGTCAAATAATTTTGTTTCTAATGCCTGCAAATTGAGACTTGCATTTGACTGTGTTGATTCTGCAATGAATAGTTCCTTCTATATATGTGATCTGAAATGGACTATCTTCTAGTTGAATGAGAAAATGATATTGCATTTCACATTTTCGTTCTCTTAAACAAATTTTTCAGTATTTGTTTTGAGTTTAGTTCACCTTCATTGTGTTGTTGTATCTTTATGCATAGAGAATGTTCGGTTGAAATTAAAGAAAATGGATTGAAAGAAGCAACCTTTTAACTTGCAGGTTGCTTGAGGGATTTGGTTTGGTGGAATTGAATTAGAGTTATGAGAAGAGGTAGAGGAAAAGGCAAGAAGCAGAACGCTACCGCTAGAGAAGATCGAGGAAGCGGTGAGGAAGAAAAGATTCCAGCTTACAGGAGAAGAGGGAGGCCACAGAAGCCGTTGAAAGATGAAATCGAAGGAGAAGACGAGCTAGTGGACAAGGAAGAAGAGAAGGACGATGATATGAATGGTTCTGTGACAAGTAAAGAAGAACTGACAGAGAATGGGAGGAAGAGGAAGAAATCAGTGGAGTCTAAAGAGAGCAATATAACCGAAGAAGAGAATGGGTTAGGATCGAAATCAAGCACGGATGATTCGATGAAATCGTCATTGTCTATTGGGTTTAGACAGAATGGAAGCAGAAGGAAGAACAAACCAAGGCGAGCTGCTGAAGCTGTTGTTGAATGTAATGGGGTTTGAAAAGAAGTTCTTTAAATGCTTTTCAAACCGCCTTTTTTTGTTTTTTCGTTGGTCGTTTTTTGCTGTTAGAACTCGACTTTGATGCGGATGCGTTTTGGTTTCATTACGTGGAATCAGATTTTCGACTTTTCGGACATTGCTCTTCTTTCTCAGTTTTCATAGCGTTTTGAAACTCACCCTCTCTTATGAACAGAGTGGAGAGCCAAAAAACGCTCTTTAAAAATGGCTATGGAAAATGCAACATTTTAATCAATTGTTGAAAAGTGAAAAAGAGAAGTTTCTGAGAAGATTTGTGAAATTAGGCGAGCGAGATTAGGGGCTTTAGGCTTTTTTCAGGAGATATTTTTTAAAGCATTACAAAACAAAAGAACTAGATTTGTGT